CTCTTCATCTACATTTTACCATGTGGCTTTTTATCTTTCTTTCATTCTGTATGTCCAACTTCCTCCATATCTTGCTGGTGTCTCACTGACATAATTCAAGTGCTTAGATTCCTCCTCCCCTTCCTCTCCCTCCCTGGAAATCCCACCTAAGTATTAGCCATTGAACTCTTTATTATACCAATCACAGAAACACATCTTCACAAAGTGTACAAATGTCCCATAAGAACCAACATTTGGGCTGGAGAGATGGTTCAGAGGTTAAGAGCACTGGCTGCTCTTCCAGTGGTCCTGAGTTCAATTCCCAGCTCACAACCATCCGTAATGAGATCTGGTGCCCTCTTCTGGCCTGCAAGCATACATGGAGGCAGAATGTTGTATACATAATAAGTAAATAAATATATTTAACAACAACAACAAAAAAGAACCAACATTTGCTGAGTCCATGCTGTATCCGAGGGCATGTGATAGTCACAGGGGCGTAAGATGGGCTTCTTCAGCTTTGCTCTCAAAGAGCTCACAATTTTGTAGCATAATGGGTGTGTCAATTCAAACCTGAAATCCACCGCAAGGATACTGTACAGCACATCACAGTGGCCACTCCTAGGACCAACTGCACACGTAAGTTAAGAGGTCCATAAAAGGCAGTGTCTTAGGGTTTCTGTTGCTGTGATGAAACATCATAACCAAAAAGCAAGTTGGGGAGGATAGTATTTATTTGGCTTATACTTCAGCATTGCTGTTCAACACTGAAAGAAGTCAGGACAGGAACTCAAACAGGGCAAGATCCTGGAGGCAGGAGCTGATGCAGAGGCCATGAAGGAGAGCTGATTATTGGCTTGCTTCCAATGACTTACTCAGCCCACTTTCTTACAGAACCCAGGACCACCAGCCCAGGGATTGTCACCACCTACAATGGTCTGGGTCCTCTTCCATGGATCACTAATTGAGAAAATGCCTTACATCTGGATCTCATGGAGGCATTTCCTCAACTGAGGCTCCTTCCTCTCTGATGATTCTAGCTTGTGCCAAATTGACACACAAAACCGCCAGTATTAAGAATCTCAGTGCATATTTTTTTTTCAGTCTTGTTCACTATGTTCCTGCCACATAATGAGCCATCAGTATTTGCTGGATGAATGCAATCATGAATAGTGACACTGGACTTGTGTTTTGAAGAAAAAGTAGGATTTACTTACTTAAACAGTGAGTAAAACACTAGTCATTGATAGGGTAGAGGGTTTCAGGGAGGCAGGAGGGAAAAGAACGGGAGTAAATACATATACAGAGTGTGAAGCCCGGGTATGCTCGGAAATTGTGTGTCCTTTGTGATATAACAATGATATAACAAGCCTCAAACAGAGGACGGGAAAGGTGGACTGGAGAGAGAGATTTCTGGGGTCAAGCTGTGTTAAAGGGTTGGACTTATTTACAGTGGGATCCCTCACATTTCTGTGTTCAAGGTAATTTTTCCTGCTGTGTCAGAACGGTCATTATCAGGGTTCAAGTGCCCCAGTTTAGATGGCAAAGTATTCGGTTGCATTAGTCACTTTTCTGTTGCTGTGAAAAAAAAAATCTGACAAAAAGCAAGATAGGAAAGAAATGGGTTTGTGTTGACTTATGATGTGTGGGAAAGATGGAAGCAGGAAGAGGAAGCTGAGAGAGCACATTTCAATCACACACTGGAAGTCAAAAGAGAAACAGAACAGGAAATGTGACAAGGCTATAATCCCTCAAAGCCCACCCCCAGTGATGTACTTCCTCCAGCATGGTTCCATCTCCTCGAACAGTTCTGCCACACGGAGCCCCTGCAGCCTCACACAGAGCCAGTAGCTGAACTTCGGAAGATCTGTGTTCACAGGGTTGGGTGGAGCACAGAAGGAAAAGAGATTACTCTAGACCAAGTAATACTGGACAAAGACTTTGATAACAAACAGTAAATGGTGAATCTTCTGCAGCAGCCCAGGGCTGGAGAAATGGCTGCGGTTAAGAGCAGAAACTGCTCTTACAGAGGACCCAAGTTCAGTTCCAAGCACCCAACCCACATCATCAGGTGCTACATACCTGGTTATTTATAACCCCAGACCCAAGGGTCCCAACACCTCTGACCTCCATGTACACCTGCACTCATGTTCACAAGCCAACACATAGATACATACTTACACATAATTCAGGATAAAATCTTTTTTAAAATAAATAAATCTCTTTCCTGCCTCCATCTTTTATGTGTTTTATGGCTACACCTTAAGAAAAAGAAAAAAGAGCAAAGAATAGCTTTGGAATAATTAAAGATAACAGAGACCTTACTGTGCTTACGATTGGACCCCTAGTAGCTAATATAATAGCATCTAGCATATTTGATGAACAAGTTAATGAAAAAAAGAAAGATGGACAGACTGAGGGGGGAAGAAGGAAGGAGGTAAGAAGGGAGAGAGGAAGAAGGAAAAAAGAAAGAAAAGTCAGGCATCAGTGGCACACACCTTTAATCCCAGCACTTGGAAGGAAGAGGCAGGTAGATCTCTGAGTTCAAAGCCAGCCTGGTGTACAGAGCAAGTTCTAGGACAGCCGGGGCTACACAGAGAAACCCTGTCTTTAAAAACAACAACTCAAGCTAAGCCACCTGTGGTGGTGCCAGCCTATAATCCCAGAACTCAAGAGACAGAGGCAGGAGAGTTGGAGGCCAACTTAGGCTATCCAGTAAGTTCCATAGTAGTCTAAGTCACATAGCAATAGCCTGTCTCAGATGAAATAATCCTTAAATATTATTACATGATCCTTAAATAGTATATACATGCAAATATCAATACATACACAATTTAATCTCCATCATATTTTCAAAACAGACATATGCATATACTAACTAAAAATGAGTCCCCAAAATGTAATCAGGGATTATTTTTCAACTATGGAGCTGTGGACAACTTTTTAACTTGCACCTTATTTTAGAATATGTTTACCTTTGAACGGGATTACTTTTATAAAGCAAGTCAAGGTTGTTTATTTAAGAGAAAAAGGCTAACGTTAAATAGGGTTGTGCATTCCTCCATAGTCAGAAGCTACTAATTTCGTCATAGGAGCCTCCCCCCAACCTCCCACCATGAAGAGAAATACTGAGAGGTGCCAGCAGTTTCTGAACAGGAAAGCAGCTATCAAAACTGTTAACAGTATAGTCTTACATGAAATAGAGCAGAATACAAAGGGCAGGTTCCCTATGAATGGAACTTTGCACTCCATGTCTTTGGCAAGTATTTATTTCACTGAATGATGAAAAAGCTTCACAAGAAACATGTCCACATGCAGCCAGAGAAACGACAACTGAAACAGAGCATGTCTTTTCAGCAATTCAACAGTTAAAGAGATGTTCAGAGCATGGATCCACTTCAGATGCCAGAGTGTACATTTGCAGGTTTTCACCCAATAACCCCAAGCCCCAGGGTGACCTGTTTCCTAAAGCAAAGCTTCCTGATTTCAGTGTGTCTTCAATTAGGCTGCATATTCATATTCAGCAGATTCATATTCAGCACACCTGCAACAAAGACTCAAAGACTGCATATCTAACAGACTCCAACTGCAAGGGCTGCTGATCTTCGGAACATACTTAGGTTGGCAAACATCAAAGAAGCTGCTAACCAAGAAATCTCAAGGGATATTAGACACCAGGACACCAGGATCAGGAAACAGCCATCTGGGTAGGCTAATGTCATCCTAACCAAGGGGGAAGGAAAACAGAAGACACTCAGTGGAGCATCTACATAACATCCCAGTTTCTAACACCATCACTAAGTATCCTGTCGAAACCATGGAACCATTGGCATCTTGGCCTCATTGAGCCTAATTAATGAAAAACATAAATTCCAGCAACCAGAACAGTACCTGAGAAATCTGAGGCCCCTGCTTTTTATTTGGGGTGTGTGTGTGTGTGTGTGTGTGTGTGTGTGTGTGTGCAGTTTGGACAATGACATCTTGCCAGGGTAGGCCTGAAAGTCAGCAATAGCCTATACCAGAGAACAAGAGTGCCTCAAACACTCATCTCTCATTTTGTGTGTTGGTTTAAGTTTTAACAGTTCTGAGAAATGAGACTTGGCAGGAGCTCTAGGTCAGCCTGGGCTACATAGTAAGACCCCATTTCAAAAAAAAGAAAAGACACCTCAAAATCCAGAAACAAAGGAGCTAGACTGGAAATGTGACCAAAAGCTGAGATGATCCAGAAGGAAGTGGTGGCCAAAAGCACCTGGATATCAGTTGCACATATGCTTGGTAAGGGACCAGGGCCAGAAAGCCTATCAGACATTGCTCAGTGCAGGTACAAGTTTCCCATGGGACTAGTATATTCACTTCATTGGAAGGTTGCTCTACACAGATAGAACTGGGCTGCAATGTCCCATCTTATGTGGGCCAAGAGTAATCTTGGCATTTTCTTCTTTCTAAGGACAAGCTGTCTAGTCCATACATGAGGATGCCTTGAACCCAGTTCAGCAGCCAAGAGGGGTACTGAACTTTGACCTACATAGGTGAGACAGTCACATTCATTCGTAGCCCATTCCTACTGTACCTGTTCTTTTCAGCAAGTACTTTATTATAGGCTCCCAACTCTATGAACCTGCTTCTATGATCTGCTTCTGCCAAAAGCTCCTGGGAAGCCCAGCATCCCTTGAAAGATCATAGCACATTGCACAGAGCAAGTTAGATGAATACTTGGGCCATGGATGAAGGTTTTTAGGCCAGGCATCTGTGCTAAGTGGCTGTTAGAGTCTGCCATCTCAGGCTCTAACACCCTAAAGCTCAAATACAAAGCTCACTGTGTGATATTCAGAAACTAGACACAAAACTCTCACAGAAGCAAATGGCTAAACCATCTGAATGTCAAGCTTCAAGTCTCTTGCCAGCCTATCTGAGCTGCCAAAGCCAAAAACAACAGGATGCTACCCCAGCTTGCAATGTGTCTACTTAGCTAAGTGAAAGGGTCTGTCAGAAGAAAACAGTAGGGAAAAGCCTAGACAGGACTATATGAAGTTAGACTTGCTGCCCAGCCTTACAGATCCTTTGGAAAGGTCTGTGTGCACAGTGGACAGTGGCAGACGCTCAGACTCCCCTCGGGGTGACCTGCAATAGCATGTCAGCACAAGAGCCTTGATATCCTTCTTGAAGTTGGTGTTGAGAAAGCCGTAGATGAAAGGGTTAACACAGGTGGAAGCCATGGCAAGCATGTGGCATATCAAGAAGATGAGGTTGCCATGGCAAGCAGGAATGGCCTCCTGGTACCAGTCCTCCAGAGTGTTAAACACATGCAGGGGCAGCCACAGCACTGCAAAGGCAGCCACCATTGCCATGAGCGTGCCATTGATTCGCTTCATCTGCCCCACTCGTGAACTACAAGTGTCCTTGTGGAACACATGCCTCTGCCTCTGCAGGCGCTGGTAGATGCGTACATAGCAAACCAGGATGAAGACCAGAGGGACAGAGTACTGAAAGAGTAGCAGGAAGGTAGTGTAGATGAGACGGTGGTGGTCTGAGGACCAGAATACAATGCAGACTACCTTGTCCTCCAGAAACTCTACAGCCTTAGAATGATTGTGGTGGAAGAGGTCACTCAGGATACTATTGGCCAGAAAGGGCAAGGAGAGGAAGCAAGAAATGAACCAGATAACCACAATCCCCAGGTAGGCCTGGAAAATACTGGGCTTCCAACCTGTTGGATGAATGATGAGCTGGTGCCTCTCCAAGGCCACAAGGACCAGTGAGAGGATGGAGACTGTCACCGACATACACTGGATGAAAGTTAACATCTTACAAAGGACTTCACCAAAGATCCAGTAGTCCATGATGGTGTAAGTGGCTGTGAGTGGCTGGCATATGAGGCACATGAGGAAGTCAGAGAAAGCCAGATTGGCAATGAGTAGGTTGGTCACATTGGACTTTTCCTTTTGTCTTGTGGTCACATATATCAAGCAGAGGTTTCCCAGAATCCCCAAGATGGACTCAATGCTGTAGGTGGTGATGATGAAGGCCAACAGGTCCACTGAATCCTGGCAGCCATCAGAGAAGTTGTAGACAAAATCCAATGGATTGGTCCCATTCTTACCCTGTAGGAATCCTGGGAAGAGGGAAGCCAGGAAATGAGAGGTATTCATGGTAAGTGTGAAAAGATCCAGGAACTCCAGGACTGAATGGCCCAGCTTAGAGGTGCATCCTGCAAAGCAAACAAATAGGACTCAGGGATTGTGTCTCTAGGATGGAACCCAGGTAAGAACAAGGGCAAGTGAGAAAGTTCTTAGCTCCTTCTATCCCATGGTATTGAGAGCTATCCTATAAGAGTTAAGGTAAGACACTGGCATCCAATAATCATTACCTTGTAGGCAGCATTTGCTGCATGCCAGAGACTGTGCTCAGTGCTTTGCATATTAGCTACTTTATTCTGACAAGAATTACCAACCTAGTTCATTGGTGAAAACCTAAAAGCCACACAGGAAGCCATTTTACCCATCCTCACCTGGCTAATAAAGTATCTGACTCTCTGATCCGTAACTTGCCTGACAAGCTCCCTCTGACCTCGGGATTTGAGACAGTTCCGATGATGAAGAACTGTAGCATAAAAAGCCTTTTGTCACATTATCCTAACAAAGACAACAAGAGATCCTACTTTATATAGGGACCCTGTCAGTCTTTGTTGGCACCCATGGAACCTGAACTTTGGGGCTTGGCACACCGTGCACCCTCCTGGTTTTAGACCCGATCACCCCGACATCCTTGATTCTGAGGTGGCACATGGTGAGGTGAAGACTGCCAGGGATACACATTGATTTGTCAGTGCCCTGCCTTCTCCATGCAGCCCACAATACTTATGCACACTTCCAGCCACCAACACATGGTGCTCATTACCCTCCCTACAACAGGCCTATGCTCAAGTCACCTGGCATACCTCAGTCCCCTGGCACTAGCTACTATTCCCTTTGGGCTTTCTGAACAAATGGATTCTCTAACAACAATGACTCCTCAGACCCTGGGTTTCAAAACCATCAGGCAGTAATGCCAGTGACAGGCAGCCTGACTCGGAGGGTCACCCACCTTATAATTGCACACACCCCTGCAAATCATCACTTAGATTTTCCAAGCATTCTCAACTTTCATTAAACATCAGGGTCATTGCAGAGACATGTTTAAAGTGAAGATTCCAGGGCCCCTCTCCAAGAGAACCAGTTAAGTGGGTATGGGATAGAGCCAAGGAAACTATTTAACAAAGTATCCTTAAGATTTTGCTGAACATGGTTTCGGAGCCTTTGAGAAATGCTATTTGTAGCAAAATAATCTGTTTGATATAATTTTTGATGCCATATATTAATCATGCCTGCTTTTGAATATATATCCCATGTCTCAATATATACTTATCTTCATGATCAAATGCAGTTCTGACAGAAATGCCAAGAGATCAGTAATATTCTTTTTCAGCTGTCACAAATGTCATTCACTGTTTACTTGGTCTGACCTGTAGAAGTAAAGTCTCACCTGGCCATTTACAAAAATCAATGAATCTGACTGACAGTTTATACTCGACTGTCTGGGCTGCCAGTTTGCGGGGGGTAGGGTGGGGAAGGGAGCACAGGGTTGGCTGGCCCCACAGTCTTCTGCACAAAAAAACATTTAGACAAATATAATAAGATGAAATATACCAGGCCAAACACAAGGACTAGGATTTGAGAGGAAAAGGAAGCCACAGCTGCATGAATGTGTGTCACAAGTACTGGCCCCAATGCCACAAAAGGAACAGAAGCCTAGGACCCTGTGTGACCATCAGCCAGGGTGAGAACATCAGTGTAGGACAACACCAGCATGACAAGAGGGGAGTTAGCAAGCAGGGAAGACTCCAGGAGATGAGCATTTCTTTGATCACCTGCTCAACCAACATTGGCCAAGCCCTAGGGTAAGGACAAGGACCACCAAAATGACTTATACAGCCAAGGCCACAGTGCTATTGCCACACGGTCAGTACTGTATGTACCTGCGACCTGAAAGATCAGAGATGGAGCTAAGAGCAGGGAGAGAGAAGAGAATCTAGATCTCATAGGATGAAAAGGAAATGAATGGACAAAGGGGAGGGAAGAGTTCAAGGGACGGTAAATGGCACACACAGAGGTACAGAGACAGGAAGGACAGCAGCCTCCTGAGACAAGCCAGTAGTCAGAATAGCTGGATCCGAGGAGGGAGAAGGAAGGAGAAATTATGAGACTGGACAAGTAAGCCGGACCAGGAATGATGGGTGAGCCACTGAAAGGCTGCCAGCAAGCCATATGCGTTCCAGGAAGGTCACTTAGATGTAGGGGATAGCTTGAGCCCAGACAGAAGAAGGTAGACATTCAAAGTTTTGCCTGTTCATGTCCTTTTTATCAGAGGAACCATTGGTTTCTAACTCACAGGATAGTTGCCTATGGCCCAGAACACCACAACCCAAAACTGCTGACCATAACTCAAACCCTGAGCCCGAGTCAAGAGAGCTGATTCCTTCCATAGAACACACTGAAGGTGGAATATACTTGAGGGGTGCATCTGAATAGAGCCCAGTGATGAAGGAAAGACTGGGGGTGCCATCAGGGTCTGAGGAGACACTATTGTGACTCAGCCCATGTGTCACCAATTAGGACTAAAGACACCAAGATTAAGAATGGCCAGAGTGAAACCATGAGGTTGAAGGGAGCAGGTCAGCAAGCAACAGGGAATAGGGGAGACTTTTTATTCAAGAACCTATGCCTAGTCCCAAGGTCATCTGAGAGCTTCTGAGGTCAATGACAGGGTTCCCTGCCACACAAATGGAACCATCATCACATGTGTGTAAGAAGTGAGCAAAGTGCCATGCCAGGATCCTACATAGCCAGCAGGCTATACACTTGTCCTGGGTTTAAATAACAGCTCTGCCACTTGTCAGCAGAGTGGCTTTGTGAGTCACTAAAATTGTCTTAGCCCCAGTTTCCTCATTGATATAAAGGAGCACAAGTGGATGGAACCTATGGTACAGGACAGTCTGACTCAGTCTTAGGGCAGTGGATGACAAAGAAACTAGGTAGTAGGAAGGTGGGACTTGGAGCTCCTAATCACCAAGCATCTTTCAAGTCAGTCTCTGTCTTCTTCAGGCAAACAATGGAACTGATGATTGCAAAAGGTCCTTTCAGGAACTTTCTTTGCCACCTCCTGGGAGGTAGAGGTACCCAAGGCCAAACAGACTCATCACAGGTGTCAATCAAATATTAATTCCCTCCCCATTCATTCTACCAACTCCATCCTAAGGAACTTCATCTCCCAGCAGAAGCTGGACAAAGGACAACACAAGCCCATGCCCAGGCCTCTGAGTCTACCTGACTGCAGCTGTCTGATGCTAATCCAGAAAAGAACATCCCAACAAAGGCATATGTCAGGACCCATCTGATCCTTTACCAGCCCTGGCCTCAAACAGCTCTCACATGTGGTGCCACCATGCCCTGCCCTGATCAGAGCTCACCTCTGACTCCAGGACTGGAAGGGGTCACACTCCTATTCTTCCTATCGCAGAGCTGAGGACCAACCCCATAATAACCAGGGATTAGCTCAGAATCACTCAAAATGAGCCTCGTGTGCTTCCTCCACCATTCTGTCTAGAGTTGGGGCTCCAGATAGACACAGAGAAGAAGGCAGTGACAACAAACGTGCAAAAATCACTTCTGTGAGCCATGGACAACCTGGGGAGACATGGCTTGGAAAGGAGCTGAGCCAACTGAAGTAGGAGGAATGGAGTAGGACGTTTTGAAGGGATTTTGGAAGACAGGCTACAGGTACCCTTCTTTGAGAAGAGAGGCAAGAAGCAATGGACTTACCTTACCCTGAGAGTTCCTGTTTCCTGGGAGACACAGTGTAGAAGAGACATTGGTTTTCACTTGCCATCCCACTGAACATAAGCTATACCACAGTCCCACCAGAAAGGCATTGCCAGGCTGATCCATATGGCATGGGCAATAGTTGGGCTGTAAAGATGGCAAATTCATGTGGTCCTACCTAATGCTAGCTCCATTTAAACTTCAGTTTTTATTTAATGTGTATATGAGTGTTTTGTCTGCATGTATATCTGCATACCACATGCATGTCTGGTGCTGACAGACACCAAAAGGAGAGAGTGAGATCTTCTGGAACTGGAGTTACGGATAGCTGTGAGCTGCCATGTGGGTGGGTGCTGAGAATCAAACCCAGGTCCTTGCGAAGAACAGCCGGTGGTCTTAACCCCAAGTCATCTATCCAGCCCATTGATTGCATTGTAGAGGGGAAGCCTACTGAGATGAAGGGCCCAGGCCAAGGTGCAGTTGGTGAAAAGCAGAACTGGATCCCTGGCCAACTTGGCTCTAATTTCCCTGACACACCTCTTGCCAAACACAGATTTTGAAAAGAGGAACAAGAAGTGAACTTGTGCCAAAGCTGAGGCACAGGTAGCCAGAGGATGCTGAGACAACATCCCCGACCCACAGACAAAGCCAGACCTAGTCCTCTCTGGAGCCAGGTCCCAGAGGAGCCTGGAGGGGGTTAGACACGTGAGAGGCCTTGCTCCTCTGTAGGACAGTTCACTATCCTGTAATCCCACAAGGTATCTCGGAAAAGCCTGCTCCATGGCAGTACCAACAATGAACTGCCTGCCTCTTCAACTTCAAAAGTCTTTTTCAAACAGGTGTGGACTTGACTCTCCTCCTGGTGACCTCATTCACTTTCTAGGGCTTCTGGTGTCAATTCCCCTACGAATTGGCAGGGGGTAGTAACCCTGGGTGGAAGGCGAGCATTTATGCAAGGTCAGCAAAACCCTGTCTGGATTTCATGTTGAAGCCTGGAAATATGTGTGCTGCACCAACCCCACCCCCACTGCCGCCCCCGACCCAAAGTTCGGCTGTGCGCTTTCCTAACCAATCTAAGAAAACCAATGAGCACATTGCCAATCACCCCGGGAAGGACGATTGCTGGCGATGAGCCTCTCCTAAAATCTCCACAACCAGCCACCAGCTCCAAATGTCTGCTGGAGACACTTTGACACTTCAGATGTACAGCTTACTTCTTCAGATGCACTCACCTAGAGAAGTATCAGGCCACTGCGTCCCAGCAGAGGAGACCAGAGCTCCAAGCCCAGGTC